TCAAACCACTGATATTTTGATTAACAGCAAAGTTTTTGACCATTTTGCCACCAGATCTCCTCCTAAATTAGGATAATAGATATAAAAAGAATCAATCAGAATTCCTTGATCTAATTTTAAAAATTTAATCTTTACAACATTTTGAGTAGATGGAATAAATCCTAAGCTAAGCAAAGCTGCAGAGAGATTTGGGGAACTGGAGAAATATGTATAAGAATTTTATCTCAAAGGCAGCACAGAAAGATAATGAATACATACAGTAAAACCAGAGAAAGCTAGAACCTAAGTATAGTGGTGTCAAAGAAGAAATCCTCAAATATTTCCCATCAAAACAAAAATTGGGAAAGTGTAGGACTTCCTCAGGGCATACAATTGTTGAGACTTAGAAAATATGAGGCAGTCCTCTGGAGTTCTGTTCCTCAAAGATTTTACTGCTTATAAAAGAAATTGAGATACAGAACAGAGATCTAAAGATTCGATATAAATTGTTTTAGGCAACTAATTTTTAAAGATACCTTAAAGATTTTTAAGGTGTCTCCAATGTCGATGAGAGTTGTATTATTAGGGAGATTTGCTCATTCAATCCAGCCTTGCCTCTTCCAAATGATAAAAACAATTTTAAGATATTCTTTAATTATTCTAATTGTGGCACTGTGGGGTAGATATTGTATACCAACAACTGGGACAGTGGTTGAAAACAACCAGGAGCCCCATGGGAGAAAGATACGGCTGTTTGCTCTCATAAAGATTTAAAGCCTCAAACACATTATGTATGATTTCTAAGCATTGGAATTGACTGGATTGTAATGAGTAATTAAATAAATATTACAAAAGATGCAACAAATAAGTCACAAAGAAGCCAGTAAACCTTAAAAAAAAAAAAGATCGTTTAACATCATTAGGAATCAGGGTGTGAGCCATCATTTTGCCCCATATTGATATGTTAGAAATTGGGATTAGAGGAGTAAGATTTAACATTGATAAACATGTATTCTTCTCCTTGCCTCTCCACTGTTATAATTGAAACCATAAAAAATGATGCGTTCTTTGAGAAAAATGATTTATTAGGACCCCAGGAAAAAAAATCAGGGTGAATGTAGAGCACCTGGAGTCAGAGAAAGGATATAGAATAACAAGAAGCCATCAAGGCATTGATGGAAATGAATGAGGGAGAAAAGAAGATAAAGTAATTACTTAAAGTAAGTTCCTAGAGAGAGAATGTAATTACTTAAAGAGAATTTCTAGAAAGACGTAGTGATTAATATTAAATTCCTAGATGACAATGAGCATGGAAATTGAGTTAATATCTCTGAACATGATAACTAGGAAGTATTCAGAAACTTCAAAAAGCAGTCTTATGGCCGCTTGTTTACTTTCAAGCCTTTAAGAACCCAGACGCTATATCTCTTGATAGCCGGGCACCAATTAGCCTTCTTCACCAGCTAGCCCAGAAGCAACAAAGCCCACATGGAAGAAGTATACCAGCATGCATGATCACAAAGGGTCGAGGAGACCAGGTATCAAGCACCAAGGTGGGGGGGGCGGGGAGGGGGCCAGGAATCATATCATCGTGAATGATGGGAGCACGTGATGGGGACCCAATGCCCATCTGTAGACAACTAGACATCCCTTGCAGAGAGTTAGTGGGGAGGAGATGAGTCACTCAGGGTGCAGTGTAGCATTAATGAAACTCACAACCTTCCTCTAGTTCTTAAACACTTCCTCCCCCCACCCCCACCCCGCCCACTATCATGATCCCCATTCTACCTTGCAAACCTGGTTAGACCACGGGATGCACAGCAGTGCAGATGGGAACTGGAAACACAGGGAATCCAGGACAGATGAACCCTTCAGACCAGTGGAGAAAGTGGAGATACCGGGAGGGAAGGAGGGCCAGAACGGGGGAACTGAGTACAAGGATCTACATATAACCTCTTCCCGGGGGGATGGGCAATAGAAAAGTGGGTGAAGGGAGACGCCGGGCAGTGTAAGATATGATAAAACAATAATTTATAAATTATCAAGGGTTCATGATGGAAGTGGGGAGCGGGGAGAGGGGAGGGGGAGGAAAATGAGGAGCTGATTCCAGGAGCCTAAGCGGAAAGCAAGAGTTTTCAGAATGATGAGAGCAATGCATGTATAAGCATGCTTTACACAATTGATGTATGCGTGGATTGTGATAAGAATTGTATGAGCCCCAATAAAATGATTAAAAATATATATGTGTGTCAGTACTGAAACTCAAGCCATCTTATAAAACACTCTCTTAAGTGAAAAAAAGCAGTTTTATTAGAAAATACTTATATTTAACATTCAAAATATAAATACATTTCTGCTAAAATGTAAAAATGAAATGGTATCAAAATTATGTAAAATGAATACATTATATAAAATAAATACTCAATAGAAAGCACAAAAGGAAAAAAAAACACTTTAGAAACAGTAAATATTAAAATTACAAGTTAGTTGGATGCTTACCTCAAACTAATAGAATCTGAGGATTAATTAATAGAGAAATATAAATGTAATTGTAATATTTACTCATTTAACACATTTAATCAGATTTGGGGTTATTCATCTTTATCATAACCTTTAGCAACTTGTAAGCTTTTGAACACTCCTCAATAAAACCAAGTTTTTTTGTTTGTTTGTTTGGGTTGTCAGATATCAAAACCAAACCACACTCTACCACTGAGTTGATTCCAAATCCGTGAGACCATCTAGGACAGGGGACGACTACCATGGGCTGCTGAGCCCTGTAACTCTTTATGGGAGCAAAATATGAAGGTGTGGTATCAGAAATGAATAAGTTAAATGATGCTTATTTTGACTAGATTTACTTGTATTTAGATAGATATTATTCTATCACAAACAGCTTTGTACTTCAAGATCTGGAAATGTGATGCCATCCCTCTTGAATCTGTCATTCCCAGCATAGTAAACGACATAACTATCTGATCCAAATTGGCCAATACAAGTCCATTTCAGCTCTCTGATGCCTAGGATATTGATCTTTATGTGGTCCATTTCATTTTTGATCACGTCCAATTTTCCTAGATTTATACTTCATATGTTCCAATGCCCAATTATTAATTGATGCTTGCAGCTGTTCCTTCTTATTTTGAGTCGTGCCACATCTGAAAAAGAAGGGCCCAAAGGCTTGACTCGTGAAGGCTTTCTTCCATCCACGTACTTAAGGTCGACTTTCTTTAGAGAAGGCAGTCCTTCCTTGGTTAGGTTTCGAATGCCTTCCAACCCAGGGGGCTCTTCTGCCACTATCTCTACAACGTTCTGCTGCTTTTCATGAGGTTTTCAGCAGCCAGTGTTTCAGAAGTGGACAGTCTATTCCATCTTCGTAGCCTATGTTCACGTTGGGTGACCCTGCTGGTATTTGAAATAGCAGTGACATAGCTTCTAGCATCACAGCAGCATTGGAGCCACCACAGAAGACAAATTGACAGACAAGTGATCGAAAGGCAGATCGAGGTTAGAAAAGAGGAGACTGAGTGTTGGCAGGGAGAGTGTCACAGATCAGAATGAATGAACCACAGGAGGAAGCACAATCACTGGCATATTGTATCTTTTAATGTCTATTTGGTGCATGAATATAACTACTGGAGATTAGAAATAATACTTTGTTGTGGAAGAAACAATAAGTATAAAGACAATTTGTAGTTTGAACTTCAAAAATTTCCCATAGTCCCTTTTCCCTTACGCGTAAAACTTCCTGTGGTTTCTCAGTTGCAGATTGCCTTTCTACTTTAAGTCAAACTGGTGTATTGCACTCACTTGTATTGCAAATGGCTATTATCTAATGCCCCAAAAGGAATTTTATAAATTACCTTTCTTATTCTCAATTTTTAGCAAGATGCTCCATTTTGCTAAACTAAGCATTTCATCTTAGTTAACATATTCCAGCCTGAACTCCGTTTTCATTTCCTCACCTTCCATTCTACCAAACCAGTTCTACAGTTCGGCCTTTGTAATAGGATTCTGAAGGGCTCCAATTCTTCCGTTTATAATTTCCTATTTCCCAACATGCCTCCCATTGATGAGTTGAATTGTGTTCCCAAAAATAGTATGTTGGGATCTTAATCCCTATATGGTAGATTTAATCTTTTTTAGAAATAGGGCTTTCTCTGTTGTATTAATTCAGTCATACCCAAGCAGGTGCATTCCAACTCTTCTCACTTCTGAATTTCAAACCGTGCAGATTAGATAAGGTGGCCATATTCACTGGAGTGGGAGAGTGTGGGCAGATGAACTGATCAATGCAAGTCGAAGAACCAAGGAGCAGTATGGCCTGTCTAAGTAAGGAATACCCAAACCTTGATTTAGATTTTTAATTTCAAGATACAGCCCCATTGCATTTTCTCTCAACCATTATCCAATCCATTAGCGGATATGTCCTTTAATTGAAATACTATTCCTTTGGTCTCATTTAGACTGGACCCATCCCTCAATCTAAAATGACTTTAGGAAAAAAAAATACTTTTTTTCTCTTTCAAGTGCACTCTCGCTTGGTTAGTCACCTCAAAGCAAATTAATAGAGCCAAATCAGGATATACATGCTACCCTTCTTAAAACTAAATTACTTTTATAAACAGAGCATACCCCCTGGCTACTCCCTAGGTAGAATTTGTTAGGGTTAAGGCACATTAAAAGGTCAAAATCTGGTTCCCGGCTTGTTCCTGTCCTAGAAGTTTCTGTAACTGCGTTCGTCTTGTCTGAATGGCTCTGTCTCGCTCTGTCTGCTCCCCGCAACTTCCCCAGGTGCTCCTGTCGCCTTCATTCTATTCATCCAAGAAATACTGAGCGCTTATCTGCTGGGCCACTGTAAGGGACTTTGGGGAAATACGAGGCCACGCTGAGGAGCTTGGATGAACACAATTCAATCTATAATTTCGCTGAATCTACAGTTTAGTGGAGGATGCATGCAGCAAAGAAGCTATTCTGACATGAACTAGAAAAGCCAGGTTTAGCGACACTTCTTGATGAACATGGAACAGCTGGGCATGGATCTCACTCACTCTCCTAGGAAACCTTCAACCTGTACAAGCTACTCAACATCTCATTTCTCTTCAGGGCAGAGACAGGCCCTGGTGTGTTTCCTCACAAACCCACACTGTGGCAGCCTCATTAACGCTGATGGCCATGGTGAAGTGTGGACAGATTGGAATGATGTGTCCAAGTTTTTCCAGTATGGATGGAGATGCACCACTAATGAGAATTCCTGTTCAATCCGTACTCTGATAGGCAACTGGAACCAGGAAAGATATGACCTAAAGATTATTGTGCAGCCAAAACCCCTGCCTTCCCAGTTTGGACACTGTTTTGAAACAATATATGACACAAGCTACAAGATGCCTCTTTCAACCCATAGATTTAACCAAGAGCCTCACTGGTTCCCAGGACATCAACCTGAACTGGATGCTCCCCAATACAAATGCACAGGAAAGTCCACGCACATGAATAGCTATTCAAAGCCTCAACTCGCGCATCATCTTGAGTGTGTATGGGATCCTAGTAATGACCAATTTCACGGTCCAAGATTCTGAGAAAGAAAAGGAAGTTTTGTTTCTCCAGACTAGTGTAGAAAGGAGCATGTTCTAAGCACAACTAAGACTTTAGCTTGTAGTGATACAGTCTGGCTTTCTGAATAAAATATTCAGAAACTCTTCTCTGCCCCCGTTTATTTTTGTAACAAAGGTTAAATGTTAAATTTCAGTTAATTTACTCTCAGTTCTCTATCGGGGGTTGTGCAGGAGGATCTAAAAAGAATGATTCCTCTGAAATCTACAACCACTGTTCTTGTCTGCCTTCCATCAGTAAATAAAAGGACCGCAACAGTCACTATTACGTAAGTTCTGTTTGACTAACCGCTTTCTGGAGAAAAAGCCATGGGCATATAGTGTACTTGGTCTGTGACACCAAGTTCCTTTGCTCAGTTATTAACTGATAGATTGAAACTTCAAGTCCACACACAGGCACTTCAGAAGAATGTCCAGATGTTTTCCTTACAAAAAAAATTATAGGTTGAAGACCCTATGGAACCTTCTCAATAAATTAAAAAAAGGGGTGGGGGGAGCCTATCTATTTTAAAAAGAAAAGCCTGCAGAGCACAGTAGGACTGTGATGCACGTGGGCCACCCGGAGCTGGAATCCGCCTGATAGCAAGCATGCCTCGTTGTTTCCTAAACAGTCCTTCTTGAGTACCAAGATAAGAAAGGGACTATTTTTATCATTCTAGAGATTTTCTAAGGAAATAAAAGTAGACAAAATAGTATAATAAACTGCCATGTACCATAAAAAAGGTCAAGATCTTTCATGTTAACAGACATAAAAAGGAATGAATGGAAAACCTTTTTTTTTTTTTTTACCTCATGTCAACGCTGTTCTTGAATTGCTTTCTTCTTGGAGCAGTCTAGCTTACAGGTGTCTGGAAATAGAATGCCTTGAGTTTTCATTTTGAGAGCCAGCTGTCAGGAGCACGAAAAGATTGAGCCCTATCAATGATCCTAAACCTATAGACTCCAGCCTGAAATACCAATGAAATGGTTCAGGGCTGACAAGGAGATACTCAGATTATAGAGCATCTTGATAGTCATATTTTAAAGCATCCTCTCCAAAGAAGACCCTATAAATGCAGAGCAGAGATTTCACTTCCACTCTTCAGATCACAATTCTTTTCTAAAGTTATGATTATATGATTCATTTCCTTCAAAATAATTAACTTACAATGTGAACAATTTTTAAAATCCATTACCAGTGAATTATCTGTGTGTCCCGGTCCACCTAGGATAGTCTCAGTTTCAGGACCTGGTTTCTATGTAACAATTATTGATGCCTCTTTCTGTTCTCACAAGTTGTATCATAAATGATACGATCAAGCTCATTATGAGGGTTTGATATCTAAGATTAAAAATTCCAATGTAACTTTTACAAAGAAAGTTCCACGAAGCTGTTTTAAAGTATGAGTAATATTTACCTATCTGAAGGCAGACAAGGTGTTTGTCCAGTTTAAGAGCATTTTCAAAGGCATGGAGTATGGGGATGGGGGACTCTCAGCATAGGCCTTGGGTGTGAATATTTAGAATCTGTGATTAGATTCTCTTGAAAATGTCACATTAGTTATTGCCATTGCACTGTGTAAATTGCATTCATCTCCCTCGTGGTCATGAAACAAGATGAACAATAGTTTATCATCCAGTTCACAAATAGATATAGTGCCAAGCCAATCATTTCCTAGGGACTCTTCTCACACACTTAATGTAGAAGAACTTATACATGTCAAACTCTGTCACCTCTCTTCTGTTTGCTGACAAAGTATGGCAAGATACACCTTTGCTTTTCTGGGGACAAATAAGTACTACATTGTTGGACTAATGGAGAGAAATTTAACTCCTAGTTTTCAAGAAAAAAAAAAAATATATATATATATTTATATTTTATATATATAAAATCCTACCATAGTGATATTCAAACCATCTGTTAAGGGTTTAAATCATCTGCAGTACTACAACAGTTCTAAAACACTGCTAGTTTTAAACACAGACAGTAAACAACATGTAGCTGGAGAGAAAACTAATCTTTGAGAATACTTTCCCTTCCCAACATTTCTCTACTTTGGTATACTCATATTGTTCACATTTGTTGAAGTCTGCCTGGTTATCCTCTAGGTCACTGGTGCAATTTTCTGCCTCCTCAAGTCTGTTGGCAAAGTCTGTTAATTTGCTACTGGATTTTGTTATTTCATCCCTTAGGTATTGTATTTCCTTTGCTGTGTTGCCTTTATCTCCTCTATCATTTCATTTTTTTTCCTGTATTGCTTCCCTCCTATCCTGTATGACTACAGGCAGCATTCTGAAGATTTCTTTATGTGGCAGGTCAATGTCTCCTTCTTCTATGTATGTTGTTAGGTTCATGACTTCTTCTGGGATTGTCTTCTGTTTCTCCTGTTTTTTTTTGTTGAGGTTGTTGGGGCTGGTTGCTGTTTACATGTTGTTTTAGAGGAGTCTGGTGCCTCTTCCAGAGTTGAAGGGCACTGGGATCTCTTTTGTGGAACTGGTACAGTACATCTTCAAACTACCTGCAGGTAGGTCAACTGGGAGGTCAGGCTACCGCTGTATCTTCCTGTGATTTCACTCTTACCCTAGCCAACCAATATTCAGTTATTTGGAATGTGAGTTGGATAGTCATCTCACGGGATGCTGATTGGGTGGTTGTGGACCCATGAGGATGGTGTTTCACTGACTGATCTCCCAGGAAGCAATAGTGGTGTGTCTCACAGGGCTTGGAGTGCCTCGGATGGTGTGTGGTGTTTCCCTCTGCAACTGGAGTACCATGAAGGGCTGGTGGGTGTACCTTCCTTGGTTTAGAGCACCATGGATGAAGGAGGAATTGCCCTTGTCAGAGAGATCACCAGGGAGGTTGGCGGATGTTCCTGTAGTAGCGTGGAACACCACAAACAGTGGGCAGGAGTTCCCCCAGTCACTTGTGGGGCCTTGGGGTGTAGGTGGGAGTTACCCCAGACATTTGAAGGAGAGATTTCCCAGCTGGTTGGGGTATAGTGGAGGGTGGGTGTGATTTCCCCAGCTGCGTGTAAAGCCAACAAGTGCAGGTGGGAGATCTCCCAACTGGGCCATCAGAGTTGCCCTAGGTGCAGGGGAGTGGCCTGGAGGCTGGCAGTGGCTTGTGAAAGGAAAGTGAGGGAGAATAAAAATAGAGGAAGAGAAAACAAAGACAAGACCAAAAATAAAAAACTAACACACACACACACACACTCACACACAAAGCAAAACAAAATAACAAAAACAAAGAGTCGAAAAAGAAAACAACAAAAAATAAAAATTGAAGCTGCTGAGACTGTGGTAGGAAAGAGAGAAGAGATAAAGAGGAAAAAAGAAGAAAAAGCGAAAGAATAGGAAAAGAAAGGAAAAAATAGATAAAGAGATAGCTGAATCCCATATCCCTCTGTGCAGCACTGCCTCATGTAGTATACAGCACTGCCACCGGCGGCAGGCTGGAGCTCTTCCCGCTGGGTGGCCGGAGATGCCTTGGGCAAAGGGTAGTGGGCTGGAAGCCAGCAGTGGCATGTGGAAGGACAGAGGGAGAGGAGAGAAACAAAAAAGAAGAAAAAAAGAGAAGAAAGAAGTAAAAAAACCCAAAAAACCACAACTGTGCTCCTTAAGACTATCTGTGGTAGAGAAAGAGAGAAGAAAAAAAGTAAAGCGTACAGAGTTTACTGATCCCTGATCACCAAATGTGGGATTTGAACCCTGCCCCTGATTGCCAGAGGGGTTTAAAGCCTGCCCCAAAATGGCAGGTTGGTGTGCCCTTTTGGTGTAGGGTCCCACCGGTGCTGGGTGGAATTGCCCTAGCTGGTAAGATCACTGAAGAGATCAGACGGAGGTTCCTTCAGCAGTGTGGAGTGCTGTAGAAGGCTGTCACAGCTGCCGTGTGTGGTGTGCAGTGCTCCCACAGAGGGCAGGCTGGAGTGCCCCCTGCTTTTGGGGCTGAGTTGCCCTATGTGGAGGCTAGTGGCCTGGAAGCCAGCAGTGGCTAATGAAAGGAAAGAGGGGGAGAGAACAGGAAAAGAAAGAAAAAGAGAAGAAAAAAACAAAACAAAACAGAATGGGGTCTGCTGAAACCAACTGCAGTGGGAAAGATAGAAGGGAGGGAGAATAGGGAAGAAAAAGAATATTAAGTAAGGAGATAGCTGAGGCCTGATCGCCTGATGGTGGGGCTGGAGGAGTTCCAACCCTGCCTCAAGTAGCAGAGTGGTGTACCCACTTGGCATAGGGTCCCACAGATGTTGGGTGGAATTACCCTTGAAGTCAAGATCAGAGCTGAGGCCAGGCAGCAGTTCCTGCAGTGGTGTTGAGCGCTGGATATCCATGATATAGCTGTCTTGTGCTGTATACAGCACTTCAGCGAGGTGAGGGGTGGGGCAAGGGATTTCCCTCAGTCATGTATAGGTCCCCAAGACAGGCAGGGGATCCCCAGTTGAGTACAGGATCACAGAGGGCAGACGGTAGCTCCCCCAATTCAGCTTTCAGAGTTGCCCCAGCTTGGGCCAAGACCACTGATGTCCCAACCACTCATATTGTTCATAAAGTGTTAAAAAGAAATTTCTAATTGGTCTCAGAGTTTTCTAACCTATTGTGACAGTCTGGGTAGACTGGAGAAACAAATTCATGAACACTCATATGTGCATAATAAAGAGCTTAATATACAAGAACAGTTGAATATTGAGAAAACATTCCATCCTGTCCAGATCAAGTCCATAAGTCCGGTATTAGCCCATATGTTCAATACCAATCTATAATGTCCTCTTTAAACGCACAAAACACATGCAATGCCGCTGAATGCGGGAAGATCACAGGCCAGTGGGTGGGAAGTCTTGTGGATCCAGTGGCATTTTAAGCATCTCAGTAATGGCAGGGGTCTCCACGTGGCTTCTCCAGGTGCAGGGCTCTCGCTGTCATCAGCGTAGCTTCATGAGTCTTGTCAGTATAGAGTCTGTCCAGGAGTGTGCAGAAAGAGAGTCTCCCGCCTC